GCAACCCCCAGCAACCGGTTGCAACCCCCCAGCAACCGGTTGCAACCCCCACAACCGGTTTGCAACCCCCCAGCAACCGGTTGCAACCCCCAGCAACCGGTTGCAACCCCCAGCAACCGTTGCAACCCCCCAGCAACCGGTTGCAACCCCCCACAACCGGTTGCAACCCCCAGCAACCGGTTGCAACCACCCAGCAACCGGTTGCAACCCCCAGCAACCGGTTGCAACCCCCCAGCAACCCGTTGCAACCCCCCAGCAACCGTTTGCAACCCCCCAGCAACCGGTTGCAACCCCCAGCAACCGGTTGCAACCCCCAGCAACCGGTTGCAACCCCCAAATCACAAATTAGATTTGACAAAAACCTAACCATATTAAAAATCTTTTATCATAAAAATGTTTTTGGTACAAATATACAATTTTTCAATAGTTAGTGAAGTATATTGTGGTATATGGGAAAAATATATATATATATATAAAACGAAAAAAATAGGCGGGTCAATGGCCTGCTCCACGTGCACTATTTACAGTGTATATTGTATACTGTAGTTTGTATACTGTAGTCTGTATACAATATATACTAAGTACTGCACACTGCATAGTGTATACTGTACATTGTATACTATATATTGTATACTGTACGTTCTATAATGTATATTGTATACTGCACGTTGTATATCGTGCACTGTGCATTGTACACTGTATACAGTGTATTGCATATTGTACATTGTACATTGTATATGAGTCACAATAACGTGGCTGAAGATATGATGACCAAATTATATGGTCATCATATATGATGATGACATATATCAAAGATATAAAGATATGATGACAGAAACGTGGTATACTGTATATATTACATACGGTACATTATATACTATAATACAGTTCATTGTATACTGTACATTGTTTTCTATATACTGTACATATTATACTGCACATTATATACTGTACATTGTATAATATATATTGTATACTATGTATATTGTATACTGTATATTGAATATTGTACAATTTAAACTCTACCTAGAATAC